AACAATCCTCTACAAATGATGAAAACATATCAATCATATCCATAAATCACTGTAGGGAAAATATACCGGGTGACGCAGAGTCATGGTACACCCCCCGTTTCTCTTTATTTCTCAAGCTATTTTTACGAAATAATGAAACACCCTGTATACTATTGCATTTTTGAAATCTGTATAATTTTCTGAATTCGATGATAACCCATTGTTGATATTTGAATTATGGATTGCAACAGATGTTCTGCCAGTGGCCAGCAAGATCACCTGACTTAACCCCTTTACACCTCTTATAGGTCTTAGCGGGTTATCGAGAAAGTTGCTTTGAAACAATGAAACAACTTTTGGGTTTTTGATGAACTATTATCATTAGTTAGTTACTGAGTATTGTTGTAGATCATATTAATAACCAAAATAAGTTGAAAATGCCTCTTCATGAGTACATTCATTAAACGAGGGGCATACCATAAGTTCCGAGTACAACTGGTGATCAGTAAATGTAATTTTCCAACATTCCCCATGAACTTGTGTACTTAGTAACTAACTAACGACAACAGTCCATCAAAATGCCAAAAGTTGTTTCATTATCCGATAACCCACAAGGACTTAAAAGAGGTCTAAAGGGGTCAAGTCAGGTGATCTTGCTGGCCACCAATCTGCTCCAATCCATGATTCAAATATGAACTATGGGGTATCATCAGATTCAGAAAATTATGTAGATTTCAAAAATGTAATAGTATACGGAGTGTTTCATATAATTATTAAACTTTGATGTCATTTCCAAAAAAACCGGAAATTGTAAAAATCTTCCAGTACGTCAAAAAGTGCCTTTTCTTGAGCATATCTGATATTCAAATTTCCTAAAAATAAGTTGAGAAATAAAAAAAAAGGGGTGTACCATGAGTCTGTGTCACCCGGTATGTTATCAAAGATTATAAATAACAGTCAAAAATGTTTTTGTGTAGTCATCTGTCATTCATGAAGTCATGAAATGAAGGTAAATGTATCCCATCTTTATTGAATGAAACGAATTCATATTCGAACATCCAACTTTTCAAGAATCTTTAACCTGTTCATTATTTTCTATCAATTTTAGAATTATTTCCAACTCACTTTCGTACTGAAGATAAAATTCGATGTGTAACGCAACTATTCAAAGTTGTGCAAATAACATTAGCTTTTTGCAACAAAACATCTTCTGCAGTGTTTACTTCATACAAGTACTTCTGACCCAAATACTTTCTTAAAAAGTGGTCAGAGTCCACACTTTTCTCATTATAGTCTTCCATCGATGTCAGGCCTTTATTTCTGATAATGTTTTTTCTAGCAAGAAAACTCAGTTTGAATTTGTTAACTTTGTGGCTGATACTAGAATCTGGGCCTATCCGTATAAGCTTCAAATTTTTCTTCTGGGTTTCTAAAAAACAAACAAATGTATTTTCATTACATGAAGGATAGATGGCAATATTTTAACACACATAACTTCACCGAGCTAAAGGCCTAAGAAACCCCATTTTGAGGTCATATTTACGCGAACGTTTACATAAGCTCTTAACGATTTGCACGCGGAAGGATCAGGAAAACCACCTCTTTAGGAAGATTTCGGTACACAGAACACTACCAACTTGGGTGAAGCACGGTGAGTAACCACATGCAAATCAATGGCATAATCACAGAGGTTCCTAGGCAAGTTGATATCTCTGTCCTGGGCCAAACAGTTGCAGAACCAGGGCATAACCTGAAAGTGTTTCTGAACTACCTATGAACCTACAGCTAGCTATCTGTCCTTAATGTTTTCTTCTCCCAGAGGATCCAATCCTTTCTACTCGGGATTAGGAGGGTATGAGGCAGGTCGTAGTCGACAGTCTGAGGCATCGAGATGTGGAAAGGAAGTAGGTTTAGAAAGATTTCCACCTCTATACAAACCAGAGAGTTCTGCCTGCTGCCAAGTTTTCACTACCAGGCAATTACTCTGTATAGAAACATAGGCTTTCACGCCCAGAGTCTCGATTAAAGAGAACAAAATCCGGGTTGGATGACTGCGGCAGACATTAAAAGCAGAATGTGCGTTGATTACCAGGACAAAGGTTAGTCGTTGTTGAGACTTCAAGGTATAACATTTGTCTTCACAGTCAACGCACATACCACTGATGATGTCTACCACAGTACATCTTCAAATGCTCCTTCAATATAAAAAAATTCTGCCACTACAATCTCTTTACGATTGAGGGAGATTAGGTGATTTGTTCTACAAATTTATGTTTTGCTAAATCTGTCGATTAGCCCCTTTGATGAAAGCATACCGGCAGTTGTTCAGGGTCATACAAATAAACTGTTCCTCCTGATATGTCCATCCAGTGTCTTCTCAAGTTCTTTCATTAGGAAAAATGTTAGGCTAGGTTAGGTCTAAAGTGAGTGGGTCTATTCGACCCTCCATCGCAACCCGCAAAGGTTTATTGTGGCTCACACCTATTCACACTCGACCAAATAAACCCAGCTTCTTAACGAAGTCCATTAGTTTGTATGGTGAGTGGTCTTTCAGGTCAGATGGTAAGACTATTGCTCTGCCAAACTTTAAAAACCTGATTTGGTCCCAAGTGGGGAAGGCACAAAGTATATGCTCTGCTATTTCATTATTTTCCAAACAGAGGCGACACACACTGTCTTTCGAGAGTCCAAGTCCCTGCATGTGATGATTCAAATGACAGTGACCTGTAAGAAGGCCTGTTAGACATCGTAGTTCATCCCTACTGTAGTCCAACAACTGTTTGGTATCAAGCTTTGAAGGGCGAATAAACGCCTTGGAGTGAGCCAATCCTGGAAGATTCTGCCAGAAGTCCATACATCTTCTTGCCATCCAGGTGTTCAATGTTTGTTTGGCAAAGCCCAAACCTTCCAGGCCAGTATTGTAAGGAATCCAGACCAGAGACAATCTGTTAAATCTTCCTATCGGGGAGAGTCGTTTTTGTCAATTTGCTACCAATTTAGATATTGCTCGGTAGGAGCCAAGAGCTTCCAACGCCGCTTGACTGTCCGATAATATTTTTATTGACTTGTTTGTGAGGTTGGATTTATCCAATCTCTCCACACGCAACTCAATAGCGTTAATTTCCGCTTGAAATACAGTCGCATAAGTTCCAAGGCAGGTAGATATATCTGTCCTGGGTCTGCGACTGAAAACACCTGCACCAAAACTGGAAGGTGTTTTTGATCCATCTGTGAACCAACAACTATCTGCTCTTAATATTTCCTTCTCCCGGAGGATCCAGTCCTCTCTACTCGGGACTAGTACTTTATAAGGCAGTTCGTAGTTGACAGTTGGAGGCATAAAGTCAGAGGTCATTACCAGAATGCTGTGACTTCCAGTGTCAACCAACAATCTGTTGCACTCTGCATTTAATTGATTTGTGCAATTGGCAATGTGCACAAGTCCGTATCTCCAGAAAAATGTGGAGAGGAGGTAGATCTAGAAGGATCTCCATGGCCGCTGACGGTGTGGTACTGATGGCACCACTGATAGCCAGATAAGCCTGTCTCTGTAAGCCAGAGAGCTTCGCTTGGGCCGTTTTCTGTAAAGCCTTCGGCCATCAAGCAATTTCACCATAAGTGATCATTGGTCTGACAATCATCACATAAATCCAATGGATTTGTTTGGGACCTAAGCCCCAAGTTTTACCACAAATCCTTCGACATGTCCATAGAGATAGTCTGGCTTTGTTTATAACTTTTTCCAAGTGAGCGTTCCAGGACAATGCCAAGATATTTCACCTCCATTCCAAATGGAATGACCTCACCATTGAGGAAAATTGGCGTTAGATCGTCTAATTTTCTCCTCTTGGAGGGGATTGAAATAGCTTTGCTGGGGTTGACAGACATCTGCTTCCTCTGGCACCAACTGTGAACAACGTCCAACGTGCTTTGAAGGATATTACAATCTACCCTTCCCGATGTAGACCTTGCCAGGATGACAAGGTCATCTGCATAAGCTTGCAGATCAACTTTTCTTCTGTCAAGGGCATCAAGCAGATTATCCATCAGGAGCGACCACAGAAAGGGCACCTTGAGGGCAACCCCTGGTGACCCTGAACCTGATGGCCTCGCCTTGAAGAATACTAGGTGTAGTTCTGTTTACTAGCATAGCATAGATCCATCCAGTTATGGTCGATTCTATACCTTTCCTAACCAGAGACAATCCTATAGATTTAGGTAGTGCATTGTCAAATGCTCCTTCAATATCAAGAAATACAGCAACTGCTGTAGGCTAACTGATCGTAGCAATTTGGTATTCAAAAAACACTTCATTGTGAGATTTTCCCGAAACAGTTTTACGAAAACTCAACACGTGTTTCGCCATACAATAGCGTAAGTGAAGACACGCCAGAAGAAGCCATTGTATGGCAAAACACCTGTTGCAGTTTTATAAAACTGTTTAGTAAAAATCTCGCAATAAGTATTTTTTGAATACGTTATGGATTTTCATCAAGCATCGGCCAATTCCATCATATACCAATTCGGGGTATAGGTCTTTGCAGATCCTTTTTAGTGGAGGATAATAGATCTTCAAAAAATTATATTTCAAAGATGTTGGCCGGCAATCTTCTAAATCTGGAGTTATTCTATAGAAACGTAATACCAAGACAATAAAAACATGAATCATCAACATTGGCTGGGCTGTTTACAATATATCACTTGATCCTTTCAGAATTGTCAACAATAATGTTAAGTATATAAAATAATAGATACTTTAATTTCGTATTTTGTAATTTAATTGATAAGGTTACCAATGAAACTACTTTTCTGTCTTCATACCTACACGGGTATGGTATGTAGTTGGTTACTAAGCAATAAAAAACAATATGAACCAGTGAGACATAAATAACATTAGGAATACTGAAAACTGAACACTATTTTTCATCTCAGTTGTGAGTTTAAAAGTACCATTAAAAATCGATGTTAGGTTTTTTCAACAGCATACCTGTTAATTTTAACCTGATATCCATCAACTTCAAAACCAGCCCATCAACCGCAGCATTTGATGGTGCTGTCAGCAAAATTAAGGCTGGATTATTTGTTGCAATGCTCTTGGACAACACGTTCAAAATAATATTGACGATTACTGTAGATTTCCCTGTTCCAGGTGGTCCCTTGATCAAATAGAATCCAGGAAATTTTCTCATACATACTTCGGAGGCTTCTGCCACAATTTGTCTTTGCTGATCATTCAATTTGGCCTGGAAAATTCAAACAATTGGAAGCAATGTCTATTATTATTGTAATGAATCTGAAGCCGCCCCTGACCAGTACGCCGGCCAAATCATGAAACAAACACATGGCATCACCGCGAAAGAATGCAGTCGGGAATCGCCGGTAAAACTCTAGAACCGAACCGACTACAGATTTCTAGAAAGGACCGTTACCGATATAAACCCGGCTTCCAAGAGAACCAAGAGGGCAGCTCAGAAAGTGAATTGAGCGGCTAAACAAGAAATTCAAATTGTGGAAATAAATTAGACGTTAGTTGCTAAGTGTTGTAAATCAATTAGACGTTAGTTGCTAAGTGTTGTAAATAAATTAGTTTGTGATTAGTGAAATATTGTTGGAAATAAATTCGTTTAAGAAAGTTAATTCATTAATTTGTCACATTATTCACTAAATTTTCTAAGATCATTCTTGTATCTGTTTTGATGCAATAGTAGCTTTTTTTGGTAAACGTCAGAGAGATATTCTTAACACCGTTGTGATATTAAGTTGTTTGTATTTGTAATGAAATTAATTCCATCATAAAATATCCTCAATACTTGTCTCGCCCCCGTTTCTGCTCGAGAGATGTTCAAAGAGTCTTCTAGGCAGGTAGTTCACCAACCACCTTTCATGGTAGTCATACAGTTGAAAAAATGTTGTGTAGAGGTGAACATTTTAAATGCAGACTTTTATATTTTCTTGTAGCCATATTTAGATCCTCAATGTCTATTCAATAATAAATCAATTTGAAATGTCGAGATGAATTGCTATTGACGAGTCAAATTTACAAATTTGTGACTAACGCTAAAGCATATAATGTCGCTACACAATCTTAAGAGTTGAACTCTGAAACGCTGATTGTTGAATAACATTGAAGAAAAGAGAATTGAAACTTTTTATGTTTTTTACTTTTATTTGTAACTAACGTTAACGGTACCTGGCGCCCCACGTTGGGCGCCAAATTCTTGTGATAAAAATTGAACCCCACACGTTGGCGCGCCAAATTCTTGTACCATTTCCTTACTTGTATCTTAATCTAGAGCAAGAGAGTAGTACCTGTGCCCAGTTGGAACGACTATAAGCTCTCGATTTGCAGAAACAAAAGCGCAGATGTTTAAAAAAAAACTGTTTTTTCCGTCAACCAGCTGTCGCACCCCTACGAACGACAACCCTCAGAAGTCGAAACTTGTGCGAGCTAAGGAATAACGAGGTCTTACCTTTTAACGTGTGATTCCTAACACGGTCGATTCTTGAATTTTAAAATAAATTCAATTATGAGTGCTGAAAAGGTTAACAAATCAAAAGCTTTTATTCAGGCACCATCTATAGAAGTTTATATAGATACTGTATGTGTGATTGATGACTTGTTTATTTTTTGGTAATTCATGATAACTTGATAATGGGGTTAAACTCGAAACCGGTCGTATAAATGAAATTGACTAGTGGTAATTAGACAAAAATGTTTTTATTCATTTCATTAAAATAGATATTGTACCCCTTTTCAACACCTGTCGCTAGTTAAACTGGGATATGAGACGCTTCAAGCATACAAATAAATCAAGAAATACGGTTTACTTTGAAATTTCAGTAAGGTTTTGCATTCCCAACCTTGAAATGAATAAATTAACAAAAATACTAAATAATCACTATTGAACATCAATTGTCACAGTATAAAGAAAATAGGATGTATAAAGAAATCGAAGAAATTATATCAAAAAATATGGTATCACTTGTTTAAATTTCAGATGTAACCACCTTTAACAGTCCATCATATTGTAACGGATCTGAAGCCGCTCCTGACCGATATGCCGGCCGGCTCAGCGAACAAACACATGACATCACCGCCGGGAATCGCCGGTAAAATTTTAGGACCGAACCGACTACAGACTTCTAGAAAAGACCGTTACCGATATAAGCACATCTTCCCCACCTAAGAGGGCAGTTCAGAAAGTGAATCGAGCGGCTAAACCAGAAATTCAAATAGTGGAAATAGATTAAGCATTAGTTGGTAAGTGTTGTAAATGAATTAGTTTTGTGTTTAGTGAACTATTGTTGGAAATAAATTTGTTCAAGACAGTTAATTTGTTACAATATATTATACCGTCTAACCGCAGAATATTTTCATGAGTCTACACATTTTTTACAGCAGGGAAAATCAGTTGATTACAGTAGAAAAGTCACCTGTGAATTGAATGGGAAAATATATTGTACCATACATAGTGGATACTATATTGGACAGTGTATAACGAATCGGTATAATTATCATAGCAATATACTGAAGAAAATATTGAGCGCTTTAATATCTGAATATATATGAATTTTCAAATTTGAAATTATTGTGGATAAATATTTTAAATCTGGAAAAATATGTTTAGGAAAATATTTTTGAATGTCATACAAAAAATGTGTTCAACAAGGTGAAGTGCATACTGTACCCTAAAAGAAATATACGTGTACTGTTCCAAAAAATTAGGTGAATGTTCAAATTTCGCAGGTTACTTACACTCATTAGCGATTTTTTACTTTTTTTATGTTGGTACATTGATCTCAAACATATGTTCACAGTTTCAGCTGATTAGCACGTTTAGATTGTTGGTGAGAGGATCGAAAAAATTGGATCAAAGAGTTTATAACAAATTTTGTGCACCTCAGCCACCGTTTTCATCAGATTTGGCCCCCTGCGACGTTTTCCTGTTCCCAAGATGGAAGAGACCCATGGAAGGACGGCGTTTTGCGACGACTGAGGTGATAAAAACAAAATCGCTGACAAACTAGAAATTGATGAATAAATGAATATTTTTTGAGAAAAATGAAAATTAACCTTATTTTTTCAACAGACAGGGTACTGTTCTGAAAAAAATATTTTATTGTCCAAACAGGCACAAGACCTAATCACAGGACACAGGGATGAAAGTGTTGAATATAGAAAATATATACATAGCATAATAGTAAAATACATTCATGAAATATTTTAAAAAATAACTTCAAATATGTGTTTGGCGATTTGCAAACATAATATACAGATTTGGAATGAAAAGGTTGAATATAGAAAATATATACATATTATATCAGTAGTAGAGAAAAAAATATTACAATATCAAGAAGAAGTGTGCTGATTTGAAAAACATAATACACAGTTTTGGGATGGAAGTGTTGAATATAAAAAATAAAAATATACTGTAACGAATCTGACGCCGGTCCTGACCGATATCTCAGCCAGCAAATAAACACATGACTCACCGCGAACCGCCGCGAAAAGTATAGATGAGTACCGAAACCACTAGAGAAATCTAGAGAGATCGTTACCGATATAAAAGGCCGGCTTCTCTTTAGAAAGTGAATCGTGCGTTCAAATAAAGAATTCAAATAGTGAAAATAAATTAAGTGCTAAGTGTTGTAAATAAATTGGTTTGCAATAGTAAAAGATTGTTAGAAATAAATTTGTTTAAGACAGTAAATTCTTTGATTCGTTACAATACATATACCATAACTATAATACCTTTATTACATTAATACATTTATATAAATGAGTATTTGTTGCTTCGCAAACAGAATAGTTCTTATTTCTTTTTTGTGTATATTTAATGGTGTTGATTAAATTTCTACTTTCTGACACAGTTGATTGCAAATAAGGAAAATTTGAATAACATATTGGTTCTCGGTGTTGGTAGGTAAAACATTGTTCAATTCTACTACTGATTCTTGGTACATGAAACTCTAGTTGAGACAGTAGTTTTGGTGAGTTGGCAAGATGGTTCACCAGTTTGTATATGAATACGCAAGAATAATGAGTTCTTCTGTCCTCGAGAGATAGAAAATAAAAACGCTGCAACAATATATTATTATCTATTTCCTGTCTGGGGTAGACATCATCTAGTTTGTATATAACATATTTCATAAACCGTCGTTGGACAGATTCAAGTGATTGAATGTGTGAAGTATATATAGGTGATCAGATAAGACAACCATATTCTAAACAGGATCTAAAAAATGAGTTATAAAGAGTGATAAAACTTTCCATGTTTTTGAAATCCTTATAATTTCTGGATATAAGCCCTAACATTCTGTTCTGAGTATTGTCTAAAATATTTGCTACAAATAAGCATAAGTAGTCCTTAAAACACATCGATAATTATGTACAAATTATTTACTTACAATGTTCTCCAGTACAATAGGTTCGCTTGAAATTCTTGGTTTTTCAATGATACTTGGGTTAAAAACATATTTACACAAAGACGATGACACAAGACACTTCATAGTCTTGAATAATCTAAAAGAACTACTGACATTCCCTATTACTTTCACCAACATTTGGTTTGCTATTATCGTTTTGTTGCAAATCTTTGTCAGCAAGGTAAAATTCACAGAATATCCTGAAAAAAGATTAACCAATCACAATAATCAAACTTGGAATTCATTCGAATCATGAATTTGGAAACAATAATTGAAAAATTCATTCGTAAATTCACCTGTTCTGTGAGAAGTCTTATTAACATATTTAATATAGCCATAGCTTGTTAGCATAAAAGTAAGATTGGAATTTGTAACTTTCGCTTCTATCAAACAGAAATCTTCTGGTCTGAACATGTTCGACTTTAGATCTGCTTCGCTCATGTTTACTGAAATACAAAAAAGACCAATGAAAATAAGAGTGTAAATACCTACTTTTGGCGTGAAAAGTTTCCGACTCTCATCTGTTATTTTTACTTACCCTGACAGTCCAAACACCAAAATGGATCTGCCTTTCTTTCATGTGTTATGAAAACTGTAACTGGTTTTCTGAAATGAAATTGTTAAAAAAGATAGAAAAATTATATAAAATGGAGTATTTGGAACTAGTCCAAGAGTGAGACGAGTACATTCAACTTCAAAATCATGACATTTGTTAGTTTTTTTTTATATATAAAAACCGAACGACCTCAATTTCCCACCAATGTCTGACTAAAATGTGCCTGAAGACTATGTCAACAGTTCAACAAATTAATAAAGTTTTAGTTCGCTTTCCAAAAAATTTCATCATATAAAAACAAAAATATGCAATCCTACTCTAAAAATTATTAACAGGACAATCAGAATTCGAAATTAATTGAAAAACTAATTTATTTTTGTGGATGTGATAATATTGAAATATTTTCAACATGGGTCTCTTCAATCTTGGGAACTGGAAAAAGTCGTAGAGGACCAAATCTGTTGAATACGGTGGCTGAGGCAGTTGCAAACCTTTTGTTTCTTTTGACAGATTCGATTACTCATTCAACAGCTCTATCCCCAGAACTATTCGATTAGCTAACTCCATGAATAACCTTCAAATCTTTTATATATCAGTTTCACGCTTCAAAAACCATATTCTTGAACTAGTTATTCAATATTATCAGCTTGAATGTTACTTGCCTGCAAGAACTTCATCAGTTCATACTGTTATATCTTGTGAATTTTTTCTCAATTGATCTATATGTTATCTTACTATTTTGTAACTACTATTCTTATAATTCACATTCAATCCACTATATTGCATCCACTACTATACAGCACTGTAATACTTTCATTTGAATTGGGCCTGCCTGTGTTTATATAAATAAATGATATGGGTAGGTTAAAAATATACTCCCCCTACTCACCTTTCATCTTCCTGGCTGTAGGCAGTTTGGTAAATGAGTTGCCACAGTTCCAATAATATCAGCGGCGACATAACGGCTTTGTATTCGGAATACGTTTGAAAACCTATTGGAATGCATACAGCCTTGTGATCTCCATACACAGGAGGACTGATTTCCAAACTGTTCTGCTCCACGAGCCACTTGACAGCCCAACGTAGAATTATCTGTATTTCCTCTGTCAAGTCCTCGGAATGTCTGGGCGTAGGAGGGGCAGGATTTCTGGCACCGAGATTCCAAATCAATCCTGACCGATCCTCAGGTACCGTTAAATCTACTTGTGGAAAAGCAACATATCTGTTAGAAATATTCGATTTAGGATTGAAGTTAGTGGAAATAGTGGTATCTTGAATTACAACCTGATCATTTTTACTACCTTGTGAAGATACCTTTTTGTTTTTGCTTTCCCCCTCAGTCGTGTCCTGTCTATTTTGTCTGGGATCTCTTGTTATTCCGGAAGATGTCGAAGGAATAACACAGATATCGGAATCTGGAACCTTGGTGGAACTGGCTTTTGGATTCAAGTCGTGGTTTCGTTTAACTGCAATTTTATAAAGTTTCTTTTTTCTTTCCTCTGCAATTTCTTTCTTTTTATTTCTAGTCATTTGTTCATTCTGTTGAACAGCAGCTTTGTTGGAATTACTTCTAATCTTCTTATTGGTATCAAAATCTGTCTTCGTAGACTTCCTCTTTGAAGGATATTCTTTGTTTTTGACTCTTGATTTTACATCAGTCGGTGATGTCACTGACACAGTTCGTAAACTACGCTTTTCTTTTTCAGATTGTTTAGACTTTCTTGAAGTATCTTCTTTAATCAGTAATACTTTCAATTCAGGTGACAGGGGACTTTGTCTCTGATTCTCAATTTTCTTTTCTTCCATCTTTTTGGGATGTGAGGTTTCTTCAGTGGGGGACTTTCTTTTTTTTCTTTTTGGTGAAGTCTGAATAATGATATCTCCAGGTTTTTCAACAACTTTTTTGGTTACACATTTTTGGGATGCAAGGCTCTCTGAAGATTCCTGGAAGTGAAAATAATATAAACCACATTGAAATAAACTGAAATTAGTTCTAAATTATGTCATGCAGAATATTTCTCTAGAATGAGAAATTTCTTTCCCCCTCCTGTGCGGTTGGAAAATATTCTGCTATTGGTTCAAAGTAAAAAAAATATTTTCAAGATTACAGTAAAATTTGCTCGTTAGCGGCGTCCTCAAGGGGCATAGCGGATAGAAATACCTCAGTGACTTTGTGGATGAATTGTAGTGCCACTTGCTTGAGACGACTATGTTGCTTTCTTTGACAAGTGTTTGCATTCTTGAAATTCTTTCACTCTCAGACAATACTAAATGTACTATACACAGTCTAAGGCTTTTGAGAAATCACTGAGTGTTGCTGCTACTACCTCATCTTCATTTAGGCTCAGTTGCACATTTTCGAGAAAATAAAAATGTGCATGGGTAGGTAGTGCAATGTATGAAAATGTATTGTGTTTCTAGAGATACTCCATCGTTATTTTATTGATCAATTTTTATGACCTTCGAGAAAGTAGAAACTACTGAAATCGGTTCGTAGTTCGAGGAATCTTCTACTTTACCTCCGGTATGAACGGGATTACGATAGCTACCTTTAGGCTATTTGGAAATAATCCCGACTCGAAATGATTTAATTCACTCTGCTAAAACATTCAGTATACTACTTAGCGGGTTTTCATTGATGTTTGAATTGAAGGGAATAAATTCCGGGCTGGTAGGCCGTCTGCTACTGTGGCAGACACCATCAATAGTATGTGTGCACCGCGAAGATGAAGGTTATATCTTGAAGCCTCAGTAATGACACAAAGCTCATTAACCAATATCACCCCCCATGCTATGTAAAAACTGATTATTGGATCGAGTATCATGTGCCGTGAATTTGAATCAATGAGCCAAGAATGACCACCTTTTACATTTTTTCAACCAAAATTTCTGCCATCCTGCGGTAATCTGGTATGATTTTGAATTTCGAGAGTAGGAGAGGCATCATTCCACCAAGGAAGGAAATCTCAATTTTCAATCTGTTTCTTACCCTTTTCAAGGTGTTGAAGACACTGGCAGTCATGATCGGGATGGTATCTTTAAAATATTCATCAGTTGAGTAGTATGCTCTATTCAGAAGAAAGTTTTTAAGTTTATTTTNTAGCCAACCGATTTTAGATTTTTTAGTGACATTATTGTAGAGATTACTTCATGTTCAGTTGTTGGTGCAAGAAATAGGGTTATATTTATTGGATGTAAACTTGTATGTTCATTTGTTGTCATGACGATAGACTTAGAACATTGATTTATGTAGAAGCTATTTACTTTGTTTAAGATTAATTTTTTATCTTTTTCTTCTTTATCAATATTTCTTAGAATTGAAACGTTCTTCTTTTCTGTTTTCCCTGTGTACTTTTGTACCAATGTCCACACTGCTTTCCCTTTATTGGTAGCGTTATTAATAAACTGGTTGTCACACAATTTTTTTGACTCTCTAATCACTTTTTTAAGTATTTTGCAATATTTATGTAAATAGTCTTGTGGAATTTTTCCTTGGAGTTTCATCTGATAAAGTTTTCTTTTATTTTTGCAGGACATTTTAATGCCACTGGTCATCCAGCTTTTACAGTCTTTAACATTTCTCGAGCATTTTTTCAGCCTGAAAATAATGTTAACTAGATTTTTGATTAGGTCATAAAATATGCCATATGCTATGTTTGGGTCGTCGGTAGAAAGTATTTCTTGCCAATTCATGGAGGTCAATTCTATTCGAAATTGCTCCATTTTCGCCCTAGAAAATATTCTTTTGAGTTGTGTGGTACTATGCCCTTCCTCATTCACTCCATAATCCATCCATAATCCATAATTCCACATTCACTCCATAATCCTCGCATCATCTTCTCTTGAGACGAAACGTAACACATTTCTCTATCCTGAATTTCATACACATAGCATGCTTGTACTCTTCCACCACCCTTAAGAACTGATGGAAATAATTTTCCCAGAGACATGAAGTTCAATGTCATCCGTATAAAACAAATGGGTCTTCGTTTTCCAGGGGTACCACAATTATATGCTCGCGTTTTTCTCAGCACCATGGATAATGGCAATGTGGAGATGGATAAAAGAAGGGAGTTAAAGAAATTACCCTAACACACAAAGAAACCCGCTCTGTTCTGACTCTAACCTGATCGGATGTTATGGTAAAGCGAGGCCTTCGGAGTGGTATCAGTTCTTTAAGGCATCACACTGCATTTGTGTGGAGTTCAGCAAAGTATCTCAGAAAATGCGAGATGAACTCACGCCAAGCCCCACAGTTGTCAATCCAAACTACAGAGAAGTTATGCTTTTAGCAGGTTCTCCTTACATCCAACGACTCCTCTCTTTGACCCCCTTTGCTCGTATATCCGTTCGAATACTTGATCAACTAAGGTGAGTATAACACGAATACTCACCTTAGTTGAGAAGATGATCAACAACTTAAACACGAATTAAAGTATTTTATCAGTCTGTTATTGTCAGCAATCAAAAAATTTTGTTTTTTTTTATGAAAATATAACGAAGGAATCTTGATTAGCCGGATAGCCATGGATACTCGGTAGTATTTTTTCCAATAAATATTCAGCTATCTAGGTCTTCAGCAACAAAGCTAATCAAACCCACAAGTGATCTTCGCATTACCCGCAGTTATTGAGTTGCACAAGTTGTTTGTGATCAAACTGTCAAAATTACTCATTTAAAACTTTAAAATTCACTAGCACTGAGGTACCTAGGTTTACATCAATGCCTTTATTCATAAAAGTTCTTCCAGAAGGATTCCAGCTGAATAACAGTCGATGGAAATCTACAACATGAGCTGGCTCTTGCAATAAACGAGAAAGATTCTCCTGGACCTTTTCATAATTACCAATCCTTAATATGATCTTTTGTTTTCCTAAATGAAGAACAAACATGCTCAAAAAATCACTAATCATCTACACTTATAATAAATAGAATATTAATTGTACTACTACATTCATCTTCATTTGTTGGATTAGAGATAATTAAAGTAGAACGAGACTGCCCATATTTTGAAACTTTAACTTGAAAGTAACTTCTAGAATAAATTCAAATAACTAAATATGTACCATTCCAAATTTCTAATTGTACTATTGAAATTGTGAAATTTCCTCTTTAGACAAACACTTCATTATTATTATTTGGGTTAGTTATTTCATAAATAATGATAACTGATGATGAATCACATTAAAAAAAAATAACGTTCTTATGATACATATCATGTTCACTTACCAGAATATTCAAAAGGTCTGCAGTAGTTTCAAAATGATCTATATCATCCGTCAAATCTACAGTAATTTGATATTCAATGATGTTAAAAAATAATCGATTTTTATTCAAATCGATTATTATTTTCTGATTATCGAATTTTATAATCTTTTTTTGTAGAAAATTTAATAGATTTTTAAGAACTCGATTAAATAAATAACGCCATCTATGCGATGGATGAAAAACAATTGAAGTTTTAAAATTTCATAAACAGTGTTATTTATGAATATGCGGTGGATGAAACAGCCCGAAGTAAGTTCAATATTATTTACAAAAAGCGGCGCCATGTGTAGGTAAGGTACGTATGTAGGAGAATGCAATGCATGTTGTTTCAGTCAGTGTAGTGAGTGAGGTGAGATAATATCGTTGTTGGTAAACAATAAAAATGTCTTCTAACCTTAAAACACCTAAAAGCGAAAGTACTTTATAACGAAAAAGGATTCTTCAGCAATATGTTTGTACTGTTCGAAAGAATCGAAAACTTGTAGTACTATACTACAAATTTGAAGCAGCACATAGTACGAAAACATCTCACTGTCTTACAGGTAACATGAATACTATAATTTATAATGAATATTGTGGTCCTTATGGTAGCAAAACACTGGTGTCTGTAAAATTCCTTAAATAAAACGAAAAACGTCATGCAAATCATACGTTTTATAACGTCAACATTTTCAATAAAAAATGAATTATGGTAAACTCTACATTAACAAGGTTTTACAAACTAAAAAAAGTTACTTTCAGGCCTTGGAAGACGTTGAACAAAACTTAAAAATGAGGTGATTTATCAGAATGTTTATATTTTTGTGGTGACAGATGATGATAAACTTTGTTTTTCTTTAATTCACCAAAAAACCCGATAAAGATAAACTTGACTTGTTGCCTTTTTTTAGTGTTGTCAGGAATAGAAAATAGTTTTGAGAAAATTAATTTTAATTTTTGGAAAATAACTTGTTAATTTTATTGCCGTAGAACTCTTGTGAAGATAACAATCAAGATATCAACATGTCTGGGAATTAAGATGAACCAATGCAATCTCTAGCGACTGAAATTGAGGCTGGACCTTCAATGCCAAAGCATGCCAGATTAAGCATTGGAGCTTCTTTTGCAAAAATTTCGGCATACGCCTTAGATGGAAATCAAAATAAGGAAATAACTCAAAACATAGCAGAAATGATATGCCGGGACAGTATACCCTTTAGTATAGTAGAAGGATCAGGTTTCAAGAAATTGATGAAGACTGTAGCTCCTTTGTACAAGGTTCCCTGCCGTAAAACTATCACAGATCTCATAGACACTAAATATGAAGAAAAAAAACCCTTATCATACAAACATTTCGATTAGGTAAAAACGTTTCCCTTACAATCGATGAATTTTAGGTGTAACAGTACACTTTATAGAAAATTTTGAAATGAAGTCAATTCACATTGCATGTGAATTGCAACTATTCATGATTGAACGTTTCGTGTTAATGAGCTCCACTATAGGATCTGTTTTTATAAATCACCCAAATGCGCCCCCAATGCTTCAAGCAAATGAAATTGTCGTGCCAAAAGAAATTGAAAAAATTTATAGCCTTTTCATAGCGTCACTGAACAAATGAGTGCAGACAAATACGTGACTTCTAGCAAAGCTATACCTATTATGAAATGTTTGAGAACTGTGTTAGATACAGTTACTCCAACAAGTGGTTTGGCAAAACAACTGAAACAATCCTTACTATCGGAACATAATAAAAGATTCGAAAACATCCAAAAAGTGCACCTTTTTTCAGTTGCTACGTATTTGGATCCTAGATTAAAAATAGTTACTTAGATGATGACCCTTTATCCTTATCAAAAACAATACATTATACCAAAAAATGTTTAAACTGTAATATAAATGATAATAATTCTGAAACGGCTGATTCTGAATCATCTGTTTCATTAAAAGTGATGGTTGATGGACAAGATATTTGGCAGGTACATCATGAAAAAATATTGGCCTTGGCTTCAAACTCGTCAATGGTCAAAAATACCGAATTGGATCCATACGTTGCGGCACCGCTATCGGATCTTATGGTAGATCNGGAGATGGAGGAAGACAACCAAGAAGAAAAAAGAGAAATTATTTTTTATAAAGAAAATGACCTTGGACCTTATCTGGTGATAGTAGAGGCTAATGATATTTCAGGAAACAATTTAGGACGATTTAATCATTTAAAAATAGCGAATGAAATTTGCGACCTAAAATTAGATCATATCATTAGGATTGAAAACAAAGGTACCGATAAGATAGGGACAGAATTCAATAACAGATATTCAGCTAATGCTTTAGTAATAAATGAAGATCTCAGGAAGAAAGGATATAATGTTTTCATACCATACAACAGGGTTACATGCAAGGGAATAATTAGCGGAATCACAGCTAACTTCTATGATTCACATTTAAAAAAACTAATTAAAAGTCTTTTTAAAGTTTTAAGAGTTTAAAGAATGAATAGAAAAGTGGTCAATGGAGGCAATGTAGAATATCACCCAACAAATACAATACAAGTCACATTTGAAGGTATAAATCTTCCCAAACATGTGGAAATATATTATATGAGCTTTAATATTATCCCTTTTATACCCCCAGTCACTCATTGTTTTAAATGTTTGATGTATGGTCACACAAAGAAGAACTGTTAGGGAAAACGTAGATGCTATAATTGTACGGAACAACATGAAAATCAAGAGTATAAAAAGTGTCAAATCAATAAATGTTTTAATTGTAAAAGCGAAAATCATAAAACACTTAGCAAAGAATGTCCGGAATTTGAGAGACAAAAAAATTAGGGAAAAAATGAGCCTAGAACATATTTCATTTCATGAAGCCATACAGTTTTATCAAAAAAATAGCCATATAAGTATCAATAGTATTAATGAATTCTCTAATTTAAGGAGCACTGTAAGCTTCACCCAAAATAATATAATAACTATGGCGCAAAGAAGAGATACATTGTATAATAATAATAAAAATGAAAGAACTTTGTCACAAACAACAAAAACCAAAAAAAAAATAATAATCATAAGATGAAATGCAAAATTTAAAATCTATTATATCCCAATGGACAATTATCTCAGCCAAAAACAGGAGTTATGTTAAACAGGACTCAATTCCAGACAAACGCAGGATCTTCACAATCTTGCCATGATGAGCAAAATTCAGATGAAGAATATAATATTTTTAAAAAAATCCAAGATTTACTATCAAGTTTACCTGAAAGTATTAAACCTAAAATGATAAATTTGATGAATACCTATGAATGGTTAAAAAATGTTCAACATCCTGACTGAGCGAGTCAGGATAAATATTAAATACTTGAATCTAAACTTACAAAGGGGGACAACAGGGGAATAAGAATAATGATAATTATTCAGTGTAATATTAAAAGTATAACTTCTAATAAAGAGAACTTAATTAAATTAATAGAAGAAAATAATCCAGACGTATTAATATTAAATGAGACATGGTTAAAAAAAGATAAACAATTTCATATAAAACATTATAACATTTTCAGAAAAGACAGAAAGGATGGTTTTGAGGGTATAGTCATTATGACAAAAAACAATATTGATGCAATGAAAATTGAATTAAAATGGGATGATAAGGAGGAACAATGTCAATTCATTATAATAAAAATTAAAGATATTAATATAATTAACTCATATATAACTAGTAATAATATGCCAAATATCGATAAAATCAATCACATGCTGGGTAAATTAG